AATAATTGGATTTTAAAATGTGTAATATTGTTACATTTTTAATTAAGTTATGTTAATAATAATTGAGAAAAGGTTTTAGAATTGAAATAGAGGCTTTGTGTTAAGTGGAATGGAAAAAAAAATGAAACATAATATTTGGAGTTTTCAAAAAAAAAAAAAGTTAAGCATGTTAAAATATGTATACATGTTTAGTTTTAGATAAAAGAATGGTCTAGAGCGTTTTCCTTTTTTTTTTTCCCTTTATTCTCAGTTTAAGGTTCTTAGTGTAGCTCCTCAAAATTTTAGTTACAATTTTCATTAGGAAATTACCGGAAGTGAATAACAATAAAATTAGATTTGGTGATTTAAAATGAATTAGGGACTATTTTTTGTCAAAATAAAAGGTTGGAACAATATTTAATATTCATGATAAAATTTGAGTACTAAATCTAGTTTTAATTTACTCAAAAAAAAAGAAAAAAAGAAAAGAGATTTTGACAACCATAAAAATAATATGATTTCATGAAATGCATAATATAACTTCATAAAATCAAATATAATCCATGTATCATGGATGTGGTACGGTAGGAAATTAATATCCTTGCTATTGCTGAGCTTTGGAGCTACCAACTAAACAAAAGAATATATTGTTATATGTAGATTTAAAAAATGGAACAAAAAATAATTGTAAAATAGTTAACTTAAGGAAGAAAGCGTGACACATTAACATTTTCCCCAAATAATTAGAACGATTTTTGCAAAGATGTATCTAATAAAAGACTTCTTCATAAATTATTAGGATGTGTACTTTCTACCTATTTCAAAAATTTTAAAAGAAAATGTAACGTTATAATTCAAAGAAAAGACACATAGTAGTATACATTAAAGTTTATTAATTAATTAGCTAAAAAAAAAAAAAAAAAAAAAAGAAGAAGAAGAAGAAGAAAAAGAAGGGCTAGTGATGGAGTTAGCAAAGCATTTTTTAAAATCAAGCTTTTGGACAACAAGAAACGAATGCGAAGAAAAATATACAAGGATTGAAAAATTATACCAGTTCGTCTAGAAATTGGACTTCTTCTTTCTTGAAGGTTTGAGAATAGAAAATGCAGACTTTACCAAAATGATGCAATCTGCAAAAAATAATGCATTATGAGATGATAAGTGGTACATACTAAACTATACAAAAAATCAGAAGGCTGAAAAGCATGCTAGGAACGCAAAAGAGGACCGAACCATTCGTGAAGCCTTTTGAGCGCGAAGCTCATCAATTGCATAAGACAATATGGGAATGGAGAGAAGAGGGCAGTAAAAGAAAACAAGTGGAGAAGGAAAGCAGTGAAAGGAAACAAGTGGGAAAATATGTCAATGGGAGCAGCTTTTTAGATTTGAACCTTATGAGTGGAGAAGGAACTACGAAGGCAAAAGGAAGGCAGTGAAAGGAAACAAGTGGGAAAATATGTCAGTGGGAACAGCTTTTTAGGTTTGAACCTTCCGAGTGGAGAAGGAACTAGGAAGGCAGAAGGTAGGCAGTGAAAGGAAACAAGTGGGAAAATATGCAAGTGGGAACAGCTTTTTAGACTTACATGCCCCGTTTGATTGAAAGGAATTCTAGCATAAAGATTTTCAAATGAGTGATTGAAAAATTATTGTATTATATTGTATAATTTAACATAATCCAGGTTAAAAATTTAGAAGGCTTTAACTTTTGTTAGTTTGGTGATAATATTATATTACATGAATTATACTATACCGCATAATTTAAATAATTAAGTATGAGATGAGTTC